ATGACTGGACAAAGTAAATTACTAACGAAATCACACTATCTATTTCAGTCACACGAATGTTCAGGTGGTCTTGAGGATTCTCAGAGGTATGTAGGTAGTTATAACTTCCCCCATTCCCTACACTATGGAATGGTACTCCTTGAAAGAAGTGAAAAGAAAACTGGATTAAGAATGATCCTAACTACCTGAGAGAGTGACCACAGAGCTCAGGGACAGGCTGATCATACATGTGTTTTTTGAGTTTTTCAGACATTACCACCGGGGTGAAAATTTGTGGGGCAAGTTGAGGTGTGCAAGTTTTAGGAAAGAGTATTCTCAGCCCTCTCGTCCATTGTAAGAAGTCAGCATAACTTCAGATACTGGTTTCCTGAGTGATAGACGTTACTGTAGTCATATCCCTAAGTGGTCGTCAGTACAATTTCACATTTGGACTTCAATTTTATTGCTAATAATCTTACTGCTATGTAATCGACATGTCTCGTATAGGATTTGATTTGTCCTACAGATATTCTGTCGCAACTGTAAACGCGATACTGACGATTCAGAGTCTATGTGAAAGCTATAGTCAGAACAAGGGCAAATTGGCTTTAAACTTTATGTGATTCGACCAGTATTGCGTGTGTTATGGTAATGAATAAAGAAAAAAAGTATGAGATGCAGTCACACTAATATGATAAAATAATGTCCTCCAATTGGCAGGTTACATGCAACAGAGATAGACTACAGAGACATCAGGCCAAATTGACGTAATCGGCGTCCAAGCAGCGATTTGATTGGTTAGTTATGGACATAACTATGATCTAGTATAGTAGGATTATCATTTATTTAAACACATAAATATTGGTACAAAGGGGCACCGAATACATATGCGCCATACAAGTCACTTGATTTGTATGTGGGCCATGATAATGCCCGGGTGTCCAGACCGAAGCAGATGGTTTTCTTAAAGGGTTACACCCGGAGCCTTCGACCTAAATGTCCGATCCACAAGGCAGTGGAGCAATGTCAGGAAATGCAGTCCAATGGTAGCCGGTGATCAATAATTGGTTCATACGCCATTTGTTCCCTCAGGATACTGGAGCTCATGTGCACCATTGGTTTGGAATCAGGGTTTCTCAACTCACCTAGGTGGACCCTCTATATCCACCAACCCGGTTAAAGCGCCGAACATTAGCTTTTCGTCTTCTCAATTTCGTGAACAACATCCAATCAAGAGAAGATAGTGAGTAGGACTTCCCCCGGGAGTGGGAATGAGTATGAATTAATTTTGATTGTTTCTCATTACATAGATATTATTCTTCATAAAAGAATTTTCATTTGTTTTGTTTTTCATCTCTGTTTTAGATCAGTTCAATTCAGAGAAACGTTTTTATAAAATAATGTCTATTAAACATAATTTAGATAGAATGAATAAAGAACATCAAGAAATATTAAAAATACTTAAATATAAAAATAATTATTTACCATTTTCTGATTTATATATTCAATTATTTCAATTAAATGAATTACAACATTTGAATCGGAGATCATTTCCAATAGTTACATCATAATATTAAAACAAAAAGGAATTTAACATTGAATATAAATCCATGATAAAACATTGAATAATCAATATTATTGTGTGCAATTAAAATCTCAGGTTTATGAAATAAGTAATATATACTTTACAAATATATATTTATTATTGTTTCTTTTTTCTGTGCTACAAGAGAACAAAAATGTGAAAACCCGGTGTGGTATATAATTTAGATGTAAGAAAAATGGCAGCTTTTATATTTATTCAATAAACAGTCAAGTGAATATTTTATTTTGATGAAGTAAAATAGTGTTTCAACTTCATTTTCCCATTACTTTTCTTTTTCTATGGTGAGTCATGTAAGTATATTTCATGAGGATCCACATACAAATGGATATAGTCAATTATATTACCATACAGATGTATGTTATTTGAAGTATATCCTGTTATCACTTCATGTGCATCATTTAATCTATACCTACTGGGTTTATACTACTATTATTATCATTATTTAATATATACATATTGAACTTTCTTTTGTTTGGTTTAGCCAATTTTCTCTTCCATCCTGTTGTTTAAAATTAACTCATAATCTGCTACTTTAATCAAGTAATCTTTATCAGGGAATTTTATTGAAACAAAAATAAATATTTCGATTATCGTTTTATATTGTGTTAATTTATTTATTTGGATAGAAATATACAGGGATTGGATCATAAGTTAAATAATGAACTCTTTATAGGAGTAAATATTTGGAAACTGCAATGATTTATGGAGGGTGATCTTAATTGTCAGTTAACATTAGCAGAACCATCGAGAACCAGGAAGTATTTAATGACTCTTTTAGTTCTGGTTTTGGAACCACTACACAGCAATATATATCAATCTGATAGAATCAGGTTTTCTGAGGAGCGCTATACACGTGTGGTGAAGTCAGAATTCAATAATCCACATTCTGAACTTCAGTCAATTTACGATTCTAACTCAATGTCACTAGTTAGTTATTTGATTGGCATTTTATTCGTCTGGCACTACAGCTTGTTTTTTTACTTTAACTTCAGGAGATCCATTTTGAAGCTGGACAAGTCATAGCACGAATTTCTATTTGAGCAATTTTATGGAGGCCTTCCAAACTATATACTCAATAATTCATCAAGTGATATATCGACGAAGTTACACAATACGTCTTTGAGTTATCGATTGCCTGTACACTTATCCAAGGAGCCCAGTGGCAAATAGGATTCGTGACTTTGCAAGTCCCAGAAACACTAGTTTCAGAGTAACCAGTATTTTTACTCAAATTATTGTTAAGCAGTATGATTTCGATGAACTGAGGAGAGCTGATAAAACATCATTAGACACTTTGTGCTCATATACATGTTGGATGCACGTTTCACGTAGTGAACAGCTAATATATACTTTTCACAAAGCGGATGATTTTACCATGTTTAAGGAAGAAAGTGAACAACAGGTGAGATTATTTCTCTCGAGTTAACAAAATGAGACTGAAAGTTGTCAAATTTAACTGTACACAGAGAAGGAATTTCTCCCGGCATATTGTATTTATACTACAGGAAGTCCTAACCACATAATCGGTTGATAGAAAAAGTGCCGATAAACACTACAGCCTTCAAAAAGAAGATAGATTACTTAACGTTATGACTCATACAAAGCAATAAGAACAAGTCTTTTCTTCCAGTTCGTATCGAGAATTTAGCTTTACTAGTAAGTTGGAAGGTAGATTATGATTAAATGTCCAATGCTAATTTTGAAGTAAACACAACTCTAAGTGATATGGTACCAGTTTTCCTTTACTATGCTTAATAGTAGATAAGTCATATAATGACAACCAACTTATTCAGTTTGCATATACAATTTGTCGGGGAACAAACATATTCACACGGTTTAAAAGTTCCTAGGTTAATTAAAACGAAGATATATTATATATATATATATATATATATATATATATATATATATATATATATATATATATATATATATATATGCATATTTATACATGTAGTTGAAGTGAGCATTCACAAGTCACTTAGCCACAAGAAAAACTTCAGACAACTTCCTATTGTTAACAACAATTACACGCTGCCATGTCATATAAATGCGCTTAGCATCATCGGTACAAATGAGCTAACGAGATGACAATGTTCAGTGGCATAAAATAAAATTACAGCTTAAGTAGCTACGATAACTTCTCCAGAGGTAGTGAGGCACTTTTTGTGTTAAATATCGGGAAAAACAGTATACAACTTGTAAAATTACCGTTTATTGGAGCTTTGTCAGTACTTCATGTCTCAATTTAATAACAAAATGGGATGAAAAAGGTGACAATAATTCATTACACTTAGCCGTTTAGATTTAACAGTCCTAGGAAACTCGCGAGATAATTATTTATTATGATGACAGCACTTAAATAAGAACATCTTCACTGATATCCAACAGTACACATTCCTAATGAAAGTATTTACGAAATATCACCCAGTGATTACTGATCAGTCAGTCAGTAACAACGTAGAACTTCGTACGTACGTACATCAGTTCGAGTTGCCACACCACATTAGCATAGAGATGCAGTGGTCGATTCAAATCCCGTAGTGGTAGAGGTAATAAGAGTATAAGCAGTAATCGGGAAGATTAGTGTTTGGAGATGTTATTTAAAGAGTATAATACAGTGAAATAAATTTGAGATTACTGATATTTCTTAGCAAGATAATGAAAGCTTCATGACTAAACTAACCACGTTAAAGAACAAAACACCTTCAAAAGTTACCTAGTTTTCTGAGTCATAAAACAGTAGCGTGAATAGATAATCAAATTACAAACTTCTATACTGAGAACTATATGCAGCACTCATACTTGGCAGATAATGGTAGTCATAACAAACTCCAAGTAGGATGGAGCGATATCGAAGAGCCTATAACCCTCTGACTAAAATCCGATGGTCGAAATCAACAAAGTATCACCAATATAGCATAATAAAAAAATGATGTGGTGCTGTCCATGAATAACAACAATTATTACAATTTAAACATATTTATTTAAATCAATTTGAATATGAGCAGTGAATGATAAACAGTACACAACAATTGTGATATGATAATTGATTTGGAATCACATAGTAAGTATGGATATAACTATGCAAAAGATAAATGAAATGAAATGAATAAAAGTAATCAACAACAATTGGTAAAATGAAATAACAACACACAATAAAACCACAGGTACTTTCTTTTTAAATCCCGAATGCTAAAACAAAATAAACTTAAATTTGTGTGTACACCACATTAAAAAAAACACACAGTTAACGAGTGAAATTAGTAGTACCTAGTAGTAGTATTATTATTGTCAGTAGAGAAAAGAAATGATCAAGCTAATTATTAGTTGTAGTAAATAATTATAAGAGAATAAATAATAATCAATGATTTAAAATTTCATCGAATGCCAATTGAACACAAGGATGTACATCCATTGTACGTGATTTTAATGATAGCTGGAAGAATAAACGGGGAAAAAAAGAATGAGTGGGAATAATTAATTGAAATAAAAAATGAGTATTTTGTAGAATCACTGTGTTCATATACAATTCAATTACAATTATCAAAGATAATTGAATGTGATGTCCCATGACATATTAGAAACGTTGTCAATGGATTTAGGCTTACCACTTTTGTAGACTAAGTAAATCACTGCTATATTACTATTATTTGAACGCACAAACATTAATACAAGGGGGCACCAAATAATAACAATGAGGCCAGTAGCAGTTATTAATGATAATAGGTTCCCTCAGGATCCTGGAGCCCATGTGTACCATTAGTTAGGAACCGGGGTTTTCCAATTGCCCTAGATGGATCCTCCATATCACTGTCATTATCGTAGTGACCAGTCAGTTGTACGATACAATTGACTGGATAGATTAATACTTGAAAAGCAACTATAATTTGTCAAAATGATAGGTAAGTGTTTCGTTTCCAAAGAAGTGGATTGTAATCCTGCGAAATTTTTCAAGAGGGAAGCTTAAAGAATAGAATTTCACCAGTAGTACATGAATTTTGTCAAGACTCTTTGCTCGAACACTACCAGTCGAGTAGGAGCTTATGGAGGACTATCATCTGATTTTGAAACCTCAAGTGGTGGCCGACAGGGTTGCCCACTATCTAATTTTTGTTCAATTCCATCATAGACCTACCGATGGAAATAACGTTGTCGTCGTGTAAATTTTCGGCAATTGATCTCCTAACAGTTTTACCGCTCTTCAACCGACCTGCCTGGCATGGTATGACCTTCAGGAACGATTGTTCCAGCCAGTATAGCTCGATCGGTTCATTACGATAGACAAGCCCGACCACCACGTCAAGGTAGCAGCAACAGTCAGGAGTAGAATTTCAGCTACGTAATGAAGGGTGGAATGAAATAATGATTCAATAAAACTGTATGCAAGTGTTTTGTTTTTGGGACATGAATATTGCCCACAATCGATCTATCTATATCGTGATAGTAACATTAGGCGAACCTGTAGTGAAATACCTTTGGTGTAGTGGGTTAGAACAGAATGTTTCAATGAATTGACGGATACTGTTGTAGTAAAAATGCATCTAGTCTAAAATAAATTCTCAGTAAGATCGTTACGAAGAAATGATTTGCAAACAAACATCATTTGTAACCTGCTTATGAGTAATTTTTTCTCTTTTGGAGTTTGTTGCTAATGATCACACTCTGGCTGAAATTGAAAGCGAATCCGTATATACATCTAAAAATTTCTTTTTATTAAGATCATGAACCGATCGATCTTTGACCACCATCGAAAACCCGGAAGCACTGAACGGCTGTTTCGTCCTATCTTGGGACTCCTCAGCAGCGCACATCCACGATCCCGCTCGGAGGATTCGAAGTCGTCACCAGTGGAGCTACCCCTTGTCAGGTAGACAGGTATCTACCTCAGCACAATGGAAGATAGTCGCGCGATTTCGTGGATTTGTTGAGGTTAGACATTAACACCGTTGGATGCCGGCTCACTGGTCTAGAGGTTAAGCGTTCGCGTGCAAAACCAAATGCCCTGGATTCGAATCCCACGAGCGGGACCGTGGATGGGCACTGCTGAGGAGTCCCACAACGGGACGAAACGGATGTTCAGTGCTTCTAGGTTTTCAGCGGTGGTCTAACGCTGATCGACACATTATCTCAATCAAAAACATAATAATCTCCGCTACCCGATACTGATAATTTCTTTTTAATTAAAATCCGTAGACCGATCAACTGGATTTCAGAATACCAACACAATAGGAAACTACAAATGTATTTATGCCTGTTAGTTGATACATGGGTTCAGTAGCCTGATGAATAAACGACACTAGGGATGTAGGTACATTGCAAAATGGCGCATTCTATATTTCACTGATAGTCACAATTCAAATATGGCTAAAGGATACTTAATGCTTCCTTTTTTCATCACTAATTCATTATTCATTAATAAATTTAACTAAAATATTAACAAAACGGATAGACATAAATAATACCATACATTAATTATTTAATCAATCTTACAATAAAAGACGGATTGTCTGGTTGAATTTTCAATTCGGCTAATACCCAGATACCGTTTGTAAGCTTCATAGATTGGTAAAGCATATCTTGACCATCCAAATTACGTTTAGCAATAGTGAATACATTGTTTTGACGTAATTTACTGCTACAAGCATCTAGAATAGATATGCAAAAATTTATATGTACATAAAAAAAGCATTTAAAGAAATTTAAATAGTATCTCTTTAATCTAAAAATATTCACATATAAATTTGTTGCAGAGTGAAGATCGGTTAACAGAAACCAAAGAATTAACACTAACCTTCTCCTAAACAAACTGATGTAGATAGACAACAAAACTGCTGCTAAACAACCAAGATTATCCATGGTCAGTAAGATAACACTGTTCGAATTCCACTCTGACCTTATTTTTCCGATTTATGTAACAGGATAGTTACTAGCCCTTACATGATATGATGGCTTAAGACCGAGTATAAAACTTCGTATTTAGTAAATGAGTTATATTTGAAAAAAAAAACACATAATATATTGATCTAGATAAACAAGCATAGAATTTCCCTATATACCATGACTTATCGGTATGGAGTTATATCTGAAAGCCATTAAAGATCCAGTAAGTAGTTTACAGTACTTCAAATGACCAATTAATTGACTAACGTATCACCAACATTCGACATATCTTGATATCATTTATTTCGATGACAAAACAGTAGGTAGAACAGGTGTATACGTTATTACCTTTTACGTAATTGTTTACACTATTTGTTTAAATGCATGTGTAGGTAATTTTTATGTCATAATACAATCAGACAGCATCATCGAAAGAAAAACATATATGGATTGAATCAATAGTGATAATTTGAACAATGTCCCGTTTAACACAATCATACTTATAAATAAGTATTCATTTAATGGTAGATTTCCAAAAAAATATAACACTGGAAATAATTTAAATAATGAATCCAGTATTTTGGATTTTATATTAATTAAATGACAGATTCATCAAGATAAGAAATCTTATACTTTGTCTATTAGAGTTAAATCTAATCGTATACACTTAAACTGGTTCTTGATTGAGAGTGGTGTTATTTGTATTTACAGTTATATCTTTTGTAATGAAATGAAATGAATTATTCTATTAGGCATTAAGTTTATTATTTATTTATTTGAACACAAAAATATTGATACAAGAGGACACCAAATATATATGCGCCACACAATTCACGCTTCGATTAGGCATTAAGAGTAACATACAGATGATATATCAGAAAACAACGCAATTTTAAGGACTCGAAAGGATTAAAACACCATTTAACTTTTAAAATATTGACTTTACTGCACATGATCAATAAATATGGCGTGATAAGGAGACTACAAGAAAATTGTAATCGCTTGCCTATATGAAAGTATTTACTATTTGTTATATAGGATGGTTACAATTGTCATTTCTGAACTCTTTATTGCTTATGTAACTCAGTAACCAAGTACAGGTTTGTGAGGTCTGCCCTACTAAAACAGAAGGGGGTTAGGAAAAGTTTACTCTGAAAACACTACACTTCATTTTACACTATGGATTTTCGCCACTAGTGGTAAGGCTTTAAAGTATAGAGCTAAAACATCAAATATTGTTCACAAAAAAGCTGTGTGTGACCAGCCTCAGGCAGTTGTTCCATAGACACTTCGGTCACACGTTAGGGTCATCAAGGACCCTCTTAACCAGTTTTCTTTTCAGGTCCGTCTTCTTCAAAAAGAAGTACCATTCCACGGTGTGAAGATCCTGGGAATGACAACCACCTCCATACTTCTAACACCACTTGAGTTATGAGTGTAATGTTTGTATGAGGGTTATTGATAGAATTTTGCAGAATATAGTTAAAAAGTATGAATTCCCTTGGGTTGTTTAACATATACTTTTTTCAAGTTTGGTCCCGTGTGAGGTATCATGAATGCGCACTGTTGAGAATTCCCATACTAAGATGAAACGGCCGTTCAGTGCTTCCAGCTTAGATGGACTTCAACTGTTTAAATGAATCATTTTAAACGTTTCTTAGTTTTCTTTTGACAGAATGTGGATGGATTTTGTACACACATTTAATATCAACATAAATGTCCGTTTAAATGCTTAATCATTTTCAGAGCAATAAATTACTACCGAGCTTTCAAAAGTGATATATACTTGTTAAGCATTTTGTTATACAAATAATTACCAGCAACATGCTAGAAAGTAAAATTAACACTAGGATAAAAAAAAGCACTTTTAGATAAATATTTATTCATTGCATAATGCAATTCTTGTAAAATGGGCAAAAATAATAAACATAATAGTAAATCGTATGATGAAAGCAAGTTAGTAGAAATAATTAACTTACCAGCAGTTAGATTTTTTGGACTCAAAGTAAACTGTTGTTCATTTTGACTAGGTATATCTTTCCAGGTAGCTAGGAAAACTCGTTTATCCATTTCTCCATCTTCGACAAACAAAATATGCATTGGTACCAACGTAGCAAAGTAAAATACGTCAATATTATTCTTGACAGCAATCTATTGAAAATAAAGAGTAGTAAACACGAGCAAGCATGAAATTTGCAATTAGCTAACACTTGTTTAAACAAAACAAAAACACTACTAATGATCGCTAAAATATATCATGAAAAGTGTAACATAGTAATTGGAGATTATTTAGCCAGTCATAAACAATGTAAGATAAGGTACAGGTATGCATCGAACCAACACAATGAGGGGAAAATTGAAGAAATCAAAACTAATGACAACACGAAATTGAATATTTGAGATGTATTTAAAAAATTGAACTAAATCGTGGCGTTTACGTGTTGCTACAGCATTGAAAATGGTTATATATATACTAACAATTCTAATCTTCATACTAAATGTTTTAGAGTATTCTGAACCTTATTCTGTTGTATTCCAGACAAAAACCACATGGCATGAAAACTTTACTAGCTTTTAAATAACTCAAGAAATAAGACTTAGCATTTTTTGGTTACCAAAAAATATTCTGTTCTAACTTATGTTAGTGTAGTTTCTACTTCAAAACCCAAATTCCTAAGATGATACTTGTCAACGTTTTAGTTTTCACAAATGTTTCTATACATGTAAATGAGCTCTATGCTGTTACACATACACTCTCTTAGCATACAGATTTCGATGAATTCTGACCAAACATAGGCTAGAAAAAAGAAACGGTAACTGATTATTTGTATAATCACTGTAGACAACAAGTAATGATTGATTTTTAGTTAAAATTACATCTCACAAAAAAGAGATAATTCTCAGTATTATACTCTTTTTCTGATCACAACGTGGTCATAACCTATTATGAAATAGCTATTTATCTAGTTTCTTTAGAGCCGTTTAATTATAATTAAATATAAAACACCAATAGAACTAAACCATACTGACGGCTTTGAAACAAGCAGAAATGACTAGTCAGAATGGAGATTGTTGAACTGAAGCGCGATTTTAAAACGCAATTACGGACAACCTGCCACTGGAAATCATGTTTCTAACTAGATTTCAGTTAATCTGAATGATGACATGGATGGTAACAGTTTTTAATAACCTTGAACTATTGAGGAATAGCTGTTATATGAATGGCTGGCTAACTCCTGATTATTAAGCTCAAAGTCACTCATAGGATAGCTTTAAGGCGTTAGCACACTTTAGTTTCTATCAAATAAACAGACGTCCTGTTTCATTACTCACTCGTTCTGGTTTTGTTCCTCGATAGAAGTTAGTTACAGTCTGCGATTCTCCAATTTCGGAAATACTCTACCAACTGTGACAGCCATAATTGATCTCCAAGTTCCATTAATTGCTTTCTAAATTTCGTTTAAACCTAGTCGAATTTCTGGATTTGGTTAACCTGGGAAATTCTGAACCACTCCTACTTGGAAATTAGCTCGTACCTTCGACTATGCCTGTCTGTCTGCTGATTCGACGAGGTAATGGTGATGTTAATAGTTTGTTTGAGATGTTGTTTGATAAATCTGAAGTAGAAACTAAGAAAACTACTTCAAGCTCCTTGAGTGTGTGCCGAATAGTTTTATAGGGATCCAGTAGATTGCTCCACTTTTGTGAAGGAATTAGAAATGGTATCGGGACAGACTGACTTTTCAAATGAGGCAATTTACAAGATCTAGTGTTGAAAATTTTCGCCTACCTCATCTGTTCACATAGAAGCTAGACATATATTTAAACGATTCGGAAGACTATCAGTGGTGGCTCGTAGTGTTTGAAACTGTGGAGGGTGATGGTCAAAAGGTAAGAGATGATTCAAGAGACTTTACCATATTTCTAGGCAATCCAATTATATATAGGAATACACGAATATCGTTGAATATCGAGTCTGAATTAAATTTTATGTTCATATTAGAGCTTGTGGTTAAACAATTACCCACTAGATTAAAACGAAAGTGGGTTAAACTTAGTGAAATTATGAATGAAGAACAGGAAAACAAGCTCTCAGACATAATACAGTTGAGTTAATCATTGAGCAGGTTTGTCAGTAGTACAATCAACTCCGCGGTTAAATAAACCTTCCGTTACTAAAGCACGATAATACGTTAGAAGTAAGAACCATCTTACCAGCGGGAATACATGTTTGTTTTGAGGCCCAGAGAATGATCCAGATGAGTGTCATAAACACATCAATTTTACGGCGCAACAAAGAATGGACTTTGTAAAAAAAGGAGTCTGTGTTTTTGTTACTTGAAAGGTGGACGTATAAGCAGAAGTTGTAGACAACGAAGGAAAAATCCACCTAGTTATACAATCATAAAAATAAGTAGTTCGTCCATTGATCTACAAGACTTATTAATTTATTTGATTGCAAGTACTTCTACCTTATAAAATAATGAGATCGTTGTAATAAATTCATCTTAAAAAATGTGAGGAAAACCACCTGTAGATTCATAAGTGGAACCATCTTCATTACAGGACCAGTAGTTGCTAACGGAAGGGATACATTAACAGATTGATGAGGCATCAAAGGAGTAGGGACATTTAGTGCTTGGGCTGGAACTAAGCCAAAGCTATTTTTATTAAATTGTATAGCGAATCCAGACATGGGAGTTAGTGCATTATTAGTCAATGTCAGCTCCATAAAAACTTGTGCGGTAGCTGTCTTACGAGAAAATGTACCACGAATTTCGAGACCTTTACCACGAGCAGCTTCCAGTAAAACAGTTGCATGTGGCACAAAGAAGCCAGTATCACCAGAAAGATCAGACATTTTGATTCCTCCAAAAATATCTGCCAACACGTCAGCAGCCGACGAAGATGCTAGAAAATAAAAGACAAAATAAATAAGAACTAGTTAGTATAGCAGTTAAACGGCAAGGTTAATTACAGATTAAGGTAAGTAAAACCAAATAAACAACTATTATTAGCGATATAAGAGAATTTATCTAAGACGACATCATGGTTTGGTACGAACCGGAGGACGATGTAGATGGCTTTCACATAAAATTGGACTAGCCCATTCTTTTTTGGAGTGATTCGCTAATTGCTGAGGATTGTTGAACCCTTAAAACAATTTGTTACTTTCTTTTAATACATTTGGATTAATATTTTCGTACAGTGAAGCCTTCAAAGAATGTTTCCCTTTTTTGCCTTTGGTTCGTTGCTCTTCTATTATGACATTTTTTGTTTCAATTTGAAAGGTCTTGTTGACACATTTAGTCGCAGTTGCTGCCTATGTAAATCAGTCTCCTTTGGTCTCTAACAAATCTTTGGAGTAGGGTCTTTTTGCGTCCAGTTTATAGGGAAATGAAGTTAAAACTATCTCAGTATATAGTCAAGCACCATTATCAGTTTATGTTGAAAGTCATCCTCTAATAAAATAAATCCTCGCATCCCATCACATTAAACTGATATTAACAAAGATTGTCCAGTTTTATGTTTAATAAATAAGTTGAAGTTAGACATTAATACCGTTGGATGCTGGCTCAGTGGTCTAGTGGTTAGGTGCTGGCGTGCGAGACCAGGAGGTTCTGGGTTTGAATCCCGCGAGGCGGGATCGTGGATTTGCACTGCTGAGGAGTCCCACAATAGGACGAAACAGCCGTCCAGTGTTTCCAGGTTTTCCATGGTGGTCTAGCTTCAATTGACTCATGATCTCAACAATTGGAATTACTAAAATCTTCACAAAACCCCCTTCTGATATTAAGTCTTAAATGATTGGAGAATGAGTGACCTACAAACTTGGTTCCTCCAAAAGCCTATAACACTATCATGTTTATTTTATGTTGGTATTTTCTATATAAGCATTATTAAGTCATTAATTCGTTCTTGTGATCAGACATCATTCGGTTATATAGTGTCGTTGCGTACCATCTATAGATCGACATCCTTTTCTTTCATGTTAAGAATCTAAAAATCCGTCCATGAGCTCACAATCCATAACACTGACAATGACAGGAAACCTAGAAAAGATAACTAAATAAAGTTGTCAATGGTGGGTACACTTGTTGTCTTATGATAATATTACGAGACAAACTAAAAATACATTTGGAAATATCCTGATAAAGTTTAATTGAAGTTATATTAGCACATTCTAGTAAAGTTGCATACAGAAAATATTTTGTTGTCCAACAAACAATATACAATGGAATGACTTTTTATTTAAATTGATCATTAGAAAAAATAAATATATACATATTACCTCCTCCAGACTGAGTCTTCTGTTCTTCATTTGGATGAGTTTTAGTAACACCAGGTAAGAGATCGTCTAAGCCATCACCCAAAAGATCAGGGGTCGCTGAACTATATCCAGTATTTGGTACAGGAGGGCGAGAGAACTGGTGCATCGTTGAATCATATGTAGATGGCCCACTTCCAAGATCAATATCCAATAGGTCCCCAATTAATGTCTCCTGGTTTGAAGATAGAACATAAAATGATATTAGAATCCTCTAGGCGGCAAATTACTGTAAATTGTTTAACATCTGTATATTCAGACTTTCTTACTTATCGATTGAAACTTGTGAATGAGTGCAATAAATAAACAAGTGGAGAGCCCTTATATGCTAAGTTATAAGATAAAAGCAATAAGTGTGCTCTCCGGGCAACATAACCAATTCATTGTGGAAACCTTAGTAAAATTCAGCACATTTCTGAAGACTGATCCCCATAAAACTATATGCAATCAGAAATTAGGACTTAAGAGAATGGTTCATATGACGATGATGAAAAGTGGGACATGATATTCTCTCCCTAGAAGCAACGACTGTGAGGAAGTTATAATCTCAATTTGAACTGAGGTATTAAGGCATTGAAATGGGAAGCCTCAACAGATTGATCTCAACTACTGGAAGCTACAATTTCTTAGCGAGAATAGAAATTTTCTATGATACCCTTCAGAATTTTATAATTTATAGACACTTAATATCCAACTTGAAATTCAGAAACATTGAACTCTGTAAAATCACGTAATGCAAACTAAGAAAACTGATTTTATTTCTGACACCAAGAAATAGTAAATATATACAGTTAAAACTGCCTGATACATATAAGTCACCTTTAACTTATTATGTAAAGTGTAGAGAAATACAACTTATGAGAATTCTGGGAAAAAAAACAAACCTGAGTTGGGATAACCGTAGGAGCTGGAACATCTACTTGTTGTGAATCACCATAATTTGCTCCAGGCGCCGAGGAGACCCCATTTACGCGTGCTGGAAGTTGACGCCGAGCTACATGCCTACCTTCGACAAAAGAACTTGGTGGCCGGTGATAAACACTAGCTAGGCTTGCTAAGTGACAAATGAGTTCATCCAATAACGTTGGTTCAAGCATATCTGTCTCCTCTGAAATAAGTGGTTTTTCTGCGAGTACAACTTCTTTAGCAGCTGCCGGGTCTGTAGACAGTAAACGCCAATAGATATAACCCCTATCACGAAGATCTGGGTTGTCAGACTCTTGTGTAGCTAAACCAAGGACAGTTTGGACAAGTTCCTGAACAAAAGGACATTAAAACTAGTTAAAACACTTAGAAAACCGAAAATCTATAATTGTGTAACGTAAAACATGTTCGGCAAATATTAGTTAAGTTGCTTTAGTAAACAGACTTTAGGTAGCTTGAATTTCAAGTAACATTGGTCGAAGAACTGTTGTTACATGACGTTAACCATAGATTTATATGAACGGAAAAGATAATCATGAATAATTTGGTACTATGTGAACAAAACAACTGCAGCAAAAAATATAGGGGTCCATCGTAATGATAGGAATTTCAAATTAGTGTCAAAATGGTGTTGGTTGGATCGTAACAATAATTAATATTCCTGGATTTACTAGTAAAACCGAATAAACTATACTCAAAGTTTAGGAAATGTACTTAGCATGTATACTTAAGAGAAAAGCCAGGGAGGATTCCATAGATCGGATGTTTATTCTAAATACTTTATGGGGTTCTGATTGTATATTTCAATTATAAAAATGATTTTAATACGATGAACTGATACTTCTATCGTGCAGACTTCTGAGGAAAATGTAAGGCACGTATTTAGGCTGCGTACATCTAAAAAGTTACATACTCATTGGGATCTTAATAATTACAAAACCCCAAATGTTACTAAATTATAACAAAAATTTTTAAACAAGCATAAGAATCACATAAAAACAAAAAAAACATTTACCATGTACTACCTGTGTATCAGACGGCCTTTTAAGAAATAGCTTTACTATTGCAGTTAACAGCTGTAACTGAACCTGGGTGTTTTCATCCTGAAAACCGTCTAGAAAAGATTCAAGTAGTTCATCAGCGTTATCAATTCTTTCAGCATATTCTCCAATGATCCAAATCATTGACCCACGTGCTTCAGGCTCATCTAATGTATCAAGATTCTCGCACAGGATGGAGATGATGCTCTCGTATTTATTCGGATACTTCCTAAATATGTCCTTCAAAATAAAAATTAGTAAGTGTAAAACTATAGTATGAAACGCTAGATATTTTAATTAAAATTTTATGTGGAACTATATTTACTAAAATATACTTAAGCTTAAAATATTTCGAAAATCTTAAACTTACAAGTCAGGGCAAGAAATGAAAATTAAATTGACAAACAAACATTTTGAATTCGGATTTAGAATTCCATAGAAACAGAAGTTGTAAATGGAATATTACTGATTCCAAAGATTACGGGACGCAACATGTGTTTGTTGACTCCAAATGCTGATAGTCATATTACTTGATAACTTGTTCAACCCGAAGACAAAGAAACATGTAAGATTTGGAAAAAATGGTGAAAATACCATGTTTTGCACAAACAAAGGTTGAATGTCAAGTCATTTATGTGATAACACTGGAGGTAAAAAATGGGAATAAAACACATCAATTGTAAACGATGAAATTAGAATGTTTCTTAGATGAGCTTTCTTCTAGAAATCAGTCAATCATGAGCAAAGAAACTGATGCATACGTGCACCGGTTCAAGTTACTAAAATTAAATTAGGACAGCGAGACGAAGTTATCAAGTGTAGTAAAAGTGGTAACAGGATCAGTAGTAGAAAAGATTATAGAGGGATGAATGAATTTGTGGAATAAAAAATGTAGGTACTTTGAAATAAAAAGTGGATGCATTTGGACTTACCTACACAACTTTGCCCAACAACAGCTAATGACTGTGGGCTGATGCCATGTCTTGGTTTAGCTTTTACTGGCTTTCTTCCAACTTACTTCTACACCACGCGTCAAAGTGGGCCAGTAGTTGGTCGTAATCACGTTGACAAGTGAAGATTAGGCTTACAATGTAAGTGAAGTGGTCGACTTAATTACTTTACACTCTATTAACTTAGACATTAACGCAGACGAAACAAAACAATCTTCAATTTGCCAAAGGGAGTTGTGTAAATTAGAATCAAGTATATGACAATCTCTTACATACTTGCAGTACAACCACTGGATGATTTATTTCGTATTTGTAACGGTATTTTCAATGTGGTACACAAAAGAATCAGACAAACATGTATTTATTTACTGGGGTTGAACTATATTCATTGAGTGGAAATTTTTTATGACATTTACAATCAAAAACAAATAAGGTGTGAGAAATAGACACACACAAGTTTTGTCTACGCAGAAAGATATTGATCAAGTGTTGAAAAATGAAGATTTAATAGAACACATTGATTTATCAAGCACACAAACCAATAAAAATCCTGAAAAAACCTTGATTGACCAAAGAGGATTCGAACTAAGGTCCCAATGGTTGAATGTTCAGTAATAAACGGGCTGATTATTTTCAGAGCCCCTAAATGCCCCGGTACGGCCGAGAGTGGAGAGTTAGTTCTCCCTCTCCAAACGCTCTCACATGGCCACGCGTATACAACCACTGCCGGGGAAGTCCTACTCACTGTCTTCTAGTGACAGGGGTGTTGTTTACAAAATTCAGAGGACGAAAAGCGAATGTCCGACGCTTTAACCGGGTTGGTGGATACGAAGGGTTGACCTAGGGGAGTTGGAAAACCCTCATTCCAAACCATTGGTGAATATGGACTCCAGGATCCTAAGGAAACAAATGGAGTATGAACCAATTATTGGTCACCGGACACCATTGGACTGCATTTCCTGACGTTGCTCCACTGCCTTGTGGATCAGACACTTAGGTCGAAGGCTCCGGGTGTGGCCCTTTAAGCAAACCATCTGCTTCGGTCTGGACACCCGGGCAGTATCATGGCCCACACACAAATCAAGTGACTTGTATGGCGCATATGTATTTGGTGCCCCTTCGTACCAATATCTATGTGTTAAAATAAAATAATAAATAATAAGATTATTTTCAGGAAGGGTGCTTCTTTCCTAAAAGTCTGGACCAAATACAGTTCAGCCAACTACAACGTAGAACCGGGTACATATATGCATCGGTCCAAGTTGCCACCCATCATTAGCATAACATGATGAACACCAAATTCATCGAAGTAGTTGCTTCAACTGACCAAATACAGTTAAAGATGATTGGACACTAAAGTAGTATTTGAATTTAATAAACTATGCAAAGCCATATTTTCTAAGCCTAACTAATGATTTACGTGCACTTGAAAATTTCAAAGAGAAATATGTTAAGCAACAGAGACTACAATCAAAAGACAAGCAGAAATCTTTATGTGTATGTGAGACAACATATTGATTTTTTTGGTTTCATTTCAAGGAAATAGGACAATCTTAAATTCAATGTGAATAAGAGCGCTCATAAGAACCATTGAAGCGGGATTCCTTTTTCGATATAATCCGGCAAAGACACCCAATACGATCGTATATCGCACACAGCAAAGTACTTCGGGGATATATAAAATGTAAAGATAACAGATTCAGCTGCGATAATTACATAAAATAAAATCATCACATGGTTCCAAGAAATCATAGGTTAAATTTACCTTGATCACTACAACTGCTTCCTGAACGACATAATTAACTTTTGTTTGGATAAGATCAATTAATGCAGACACACAACGCTCCGCGGCAGATTCAATCTTGATAGCACATCTCCCTATTGCACGAACAGCTTTTCGGACAAAATCCACGTCAACTTCTTTTGCGTATTCCTTCAGTTCAGCAAGCACCTGACCAATGTTAGACTGATTGATGAGACGTATCATTATATCTAGCTTCTCAAGTTTCACATAGATCGGGTCATTATACTTGACAAAAAATACCTGAAATATAAACTTCTTTTAAGCCTTAATAGAGAATGAAGAGATATCACCAAATGATGTCATACCACAAATAACAGCTACATCAAAGCCTACAAAATGAAATCAATAACTACGTAAATTCATCAACGAACATAGCCATTTCTATAATGAAGGTTAACAAAACTTGATTATCGAAAACTTGGTAGAGGAAGTGTGGTTTGAACACACGATATAATTATTGAAAGTAAAGTCTAGCAACAAACCTAAAGTCCGAAGGCGAAGTCGTACTGCTGACTGTACATAGGTGTGACAGCAGTAAGGTGTTTCCTTCAGACAACCAGCATGACAGCGATGCTGCCTTCCCACAAGGAGAGGTGGGATTAGAAAAGGTCGACCCTAAAAATAAACACTTCGCCTTATCCCACGGATATCCGTCTCCGGCGGTAAGGTCTCAACAAGTACGGAGCTAATACAAAAATTACCCATAAAAAGGTCGTGTGTGATCGACCTCAAGCAGTTGTCCCTTGGGCACTGCGGTCACTAAGATCACCTCTAATCCAATTTCCTTTTCAGGTACCTCCAGAAGAACCCTTCCACGGTGTGGGCAACCGGGAAGTGATAACCGCCTACATACCTCTAACAGCACTCAAAACTGACTAGACTAAGGATTATATCCATGATAACAATATTACTTTTTTAAAACAAGCGACAAGTTTACTTCTTGGAAAAGACAGTTACTAATATAGAAATAACCTTATCTATGAAAGTGAATAAACCACTTTTATTTTATACACATCTAAATTCCGGTACAACTAAACACCAAAAAAGTATGAGCCACACAGATAAAGAAATATCATTAAGAAAGGTCAACCGACAAAAATGAACAAGAACAGAATATGATAGGAGATACCGTTCAGATAAAAATACAAGCAAAAAGCATCAGTTAGGTAAGTTACTTACACTTTTATGAAAATGTAGAAGAAAACTATAGCAGGATTACCGCTCGTTTCGATTCTGAGCCACGTCTGACAAGATCTCAAGCCATTGAGTTGCACCATACCTAGAGTCCGGATCGAGGATGTGGACGCCATGCCATATACTAATGACCTCTTAGCTCTTTTTATTCTGTCCCAGTGTCAGTAAATAACGTACGATGTGGAGACCGCTGGGATGACGTTCGCAAAACATGCCATCCACTGAGGCTGATGTATCAAAATGATGACACCAACTGAATTATCATCAATGTGCTCCAACATGTGTTACCGAATCTTACCACTACAACACAGAGTTGCCTAACGTTATATCCTAGTGAAGATTACATTACGAGTAACTTCTGAAATCTATTAATGGACTAGTATTACCCATATATTCTTATGGTATAACTATTTAGTAATCAGATTATGCATATCTATATTCCCCTTATTATAAGCTTCGTTTTGACTTATAGATTGTTAATGTACGATTTGCTGTTCTTATGTTATACTCAGTTTATTAATTACTATCTCGCACGTCCACAACCACCTTTGGCTATATGTTGTACGAGTGTTATTTTCTATTTCATGGTGCGTTGCGGTCTGTTTGGTTGATACATAAACCCAGTATGTCTGAAATAAATGATTCGTATAGTGGAGGCTGTTGTTGGCATTCTGGACTCAGCTGGACGGGCTAAGCGAGCACTGGACCAATAGGACGCTAGGCTGATCAGACCGAACGGACGTCATTGGTTTAGTACAACACAAGGGCGAACAAGTCGCATTTTGATTGGCGAATAAATTATGTGATAACTAGCGGGTCATAAAGACAACACCTAACATCCCCAACTCGGAGAGCCCAGGTGTCATAACTGAACAAAACTTCTCTTACAAAAGTGTTGTAGGTCCGCCCCTTTACAACTAGACGAACATCGCGACGACGCCTAGATAAGTTCCAAGAATCACCTGGTAAGGCAGAGGGTGGGAAGAACATATCCTCGTATTTGAAATGCTTCCGTACGGTTATGCGTTTATAGAATCTAACGGGAAAGTTCTAGTCATTACCTCTAGGCAGCGAGGGGTGCTGTTTACGGAAATGAAAGAATGGAAGACGGACGTTGGTAAATACGGAGTGTGAACACACTGATTTTGAACCAGTACTGCACATAGGCTCCAGGACACTCCGGGAACGAATGGCTGATATGATGGGATTAAAAAACAAAATTACGTTCTTTTATTTATTGTGATTTTTGTTCAACATTACTTCCGTTTTAGTTCAATGTGATGATTACTGAGTGTAATATTTGCTTTGTTTTCCAATGTGATATTTTATTCGGTACAATATTGATCCAATTGAATGTAATGTTTATTGAAGATACATTTTTGCATTGAATTAACATGAAGAATGCTCAGCATGATACGCAGTATGTGATTTGCTATAACTTTGGGTATTTTTTCACATATAAGATTTCATCCTAATTAGTAATCAAAATGGGTGTACTTTTGACTAGGGTCGTAGTGTTTTGGGTTTAATAGATCTTCATTTGTACCAGTCTTGTGGTTGTTACTTCGCGTCATGGAAATTGTAGTGGTTGATTGTTTTACAAGTATAAGTAATGAGCGATTCCGACGTAATCATAGCAATTGACGACCCATCATAACAATGGTCTATGAAGCTATTTTGGCTACCGACTACTATAGAATGACATTTCGGTGGGTACCACGTTGGGCAAATCACCTGCTTGTGGTTCGGGTGCGTATTTTTATTTATTTGAACATAAATATTGGTACGAAGGGGCACCAAATACATATGCGCCATACAAGTCACTTGATTTGTGTGTGGGCCATGATACTGCCCGGGTGTCCAGACCGAAGCAGATGGTTTGCTTAAAGGGCCACACCCGGAGCCTTCGACCTAAGTGTCTGATCCACAAGGCAGTGGAGCAACGTCAGGAAATGCAGTCCAATGGTGTCCGGTGACCAATAATTGGTTCATACTCCATTTGTTTCCTTAGGATCCTGGAGTCCATATTCACCAATGGTTTGGAATGAGGGTTTTCCAACTCCCCTAGGTCAACCCTTCGTATCCACCAACCCGGTTAAAGCGTCGGACATTCGCTTTTCGTCCTCTGAATTTTGTAAACAACACCCCTGTCACTAGAAGACAGTGAGTAGGACTTCCCCGGCAGTGGTTGTATACGCGTGGCCATGTGAGAGCGTTTGGAGAGGGAGAACTAACTCTCCACTCTCGGCCGTACCGGGGCATTTGGGGGCGGTGCCGGAGAAGTAACCCAGACCATACATAAATATTATGGTCGAAAATTATGAATAAACTGATCTACGTGCTCTTTTTTCATACTAACTCAAGCGATAACTGTTCTTTATTAAATAAAAGTCTGTCATACTTTGCTTCACTTCCTATTCCGCTTTGTTTCCATCCTATGTTTACCTTTATTTACCAACTGCCCCAGTAGCTCATCTATCTTGAGAGCTCAGTTATGTCTGGACTCAGATTGTGGTTTAGTTTGCGTCAAGCCTACCTTACTTAGGGTAGGACAGTCTGATCAGTGTTGATAAGCAGAAAAAAAGCCAGCTAAACTGTTCCTTGGTGAATGGCACTAGTTGGAGCTCCATCAGCCTCACAGATCGTTCCACTCACACCAGACCCCTTGCTACCAGTGGTTCGGATATGTTGAAATAGCTTCCAACAGTCGCCAGGTGCAGCTGCTACTTCTAACTCGTTAGAACACCCTGACCATCAGGCTTTTAGGTCTTTGTGCAACGTTTGTAAAATTTACTATACACTCTCGCAGACTGACTACCAACTTTGAGCCCAGCTCGGTTGGATATATGGTGGCGACGGAAGTTACAACCGATTTGCATATATTATTTCCGTTTAGGACAAGACATTTATTGGCCACCAAATCTCAGGATAAGATTGGTACAGACTAAACCATGGTCCGAGTTCAGATACATACTTAAAAGAGGGTTTTGTACACATTGATCTACAAGGTATGAACTGTTTCTAGCACCAAACAAACATACCAATAAAATGGCTTTAAATATTACAACTGCTTACTTTTATCTCCTGCTTTAAAATATCTCTACGCTTTTGAACAATTAAGTTAATATTGCGCAGAGCTACATACTGAATTTCCGGTTCCGCAGAAAGTAATGTTACTAGTGGGGGTGCCAACTTTCTAATTACAGTCGATGCAGTTTCGGAAGTAGGATCAACCATTTCCAACATTTTCATAATGACTTTAACAGTTGATAGAACGACAGCAGCGTTTGCGTGTGCTAGTCTTGGAGATACGCGTTCGATGATACTTTGTGCCTCACGATCATCACCAGGTGTGTAATCTGCAATCGCATCAAGTATAAAAACTTGTCCCCACCTAGAGTATAAAAGGTAGTTAAAACAAGCGTTATAAAATCATGCTGAACTACCGCATCTCATGTAATGGAAGTCTAAGTAAAATAATGATGTATTAAGCAAGTATCTTAGTCTTATTCACTAGATTTAAAGCTATATATATCTAGGGACCTATAATGCTTGTCCTACTAATTCCTATCGTCCTTAAAATATTTATTGGCTTAACGGATCACTTCAGGTTTACGCAATACTTCAAATCAAACCTATCATATGACACGAAGTCTTACCGATTATATCGGTTCAACACGCCACACTCAGCACTAGTAGTATCTAGAGGAAACAAATCAGAGGAGATACAAGGAAGTCAAAACAACAGTAATAAGAATGGCGGAAAATAAAGATAATAAAAAGGGAGAAAAAGTCAACGGATGTAAAGTACAGGATAATACCAACCAGTTTCCAAAATCTCCGCAAGTAGAATTATATTTTAACACATGAGCTAGAACGAAGGTCATAAAGAGGGCTTTCTTCAGATATTTGACTTGCTTATTTTGTCTCACTTTCAGTTTCGCACCGAAATTAAGGAAGTGGCAATAAAGGGGAAGGTTTAAAAGAATTAGTATTATGCAACTTTCGTTCGTGTATAGTCAGTGCAAACATCAATTAATTAGTGGGCCAATATGAAGTCAACAGCATTACTACCAGTTACCAGGTGAGTGAAATTAATTCATTCAGACCAATGTTTTTAATTACTTCAAAGTCGCCAACACTGCATAAACGTGACCACAAAAGTAATCACAAGTATTTCATGGTAACAGAAACTATAACATGAAAAGCAGACTGTCTTTTACTAACACAATAATCGACCTCTGCCATGAGTTCAGTTAATAGTATCATTTGCTTATAGCGGAAGTTAATGTGAATTAGTCTAACAAAATACATTATAATACAGACATAAACTACCAAATTAAACTGCTCACTCAGTGCATTCATTAAGAGCTGTCAGGAGTTTGTTAATTACTGGACCATCGAAGGCAAGTAAGGACCTTGCAGAATCAGAATTTGTCATCTCCAATATTTCAGTTATTGATGCGACAGCATTAGCGACTACCATGGGATTACTGTCACATAACAAATCCCTCAAAAGTTCTAAAAATCCACTATCTTCCACTAACTGAGCATCTATATCATGCAGCTTTGCTACACAAACAGCAGCTGTCTTGCGGACATATGGATCTTCGTCTTTAAGACATTTACGGAGTGGGTCACAGAGATAGGCAGTTATTTTCTCCACACGTATGCAGCCCATTGTTCGCACAGCAAGAGCCCTGATAAGTGGATTGGGATCATCGCAATCCTAAAAAAATAAATTCAGTTAGTAGAAACTTACTTTTACAAAGGTATTCACAGCCATTATTGCAGTATCAGGCTGTGTCTTGGCGTAATTCATAAGATACAGGTATACTAGCTTCTTAAGTTCCAAATTATCAGTTTGCATACAGTTGATTACATCTGGAAACAAAGCACTTAAAGATGTATGATGCATATCCGAGGATTGAGTACCTAACATCTTTACCTACAGTCATACTGGCTATGACCTTTTTAACAGCCTCCTTCTTTTTTTCTCTTCGCTCACTATTCAATTCGGCTTTCAGCTCAAAAATTTCACCTAATTTATGATTGTGTACTCAGTAAAATTACCTTTTTTCGTTGTCGTGAAGTACCGAGCATCCGTAGGCTTTGATTGAGCTGTTACTTTCTGAAGCCATGGTCTAAATTTATGTACATGGAAAGTTGAAAAGTTACTTGATATTTCCTAGGGTATCAGTAACAGATGCAGCAACACCTTGCATATCTGAACTCTACAGACAATCGAAACTAATTTGAAAATACGGACTACTCAGTGTCTAATTCTTGTACTAATTTCATAGGTTTTTTATGCAACTAGCAAATGCTACCAAAATATATTTTAAGCTCTCAACTTTGTAAGCAAAGATGGCAAAATATGTCAAAAATGCATATTTACGATTTCAGTTCACTAGACTTTGTTTGAATACGCTCCAGAATATCACGAAAACCCTGGAATCACTACTTACAGTGACGTAAGAATAATCTCTTTGTCAATAGAACGATACTGTGAAAGCATCCAATGTGTAGAGACAAGGAGTTCCTATGATAGACTTAATTTTAATTAGTTCTACTGGGCGGTGGTTGTACAATATTGCTTTATTCAGCTGGAGTCTGTCCTCTGTCATCCTTCATATCTTCACGTCACCTGCAAATGATAGGGGTCGATGGATGATTCAAACTATTTATGAGTGATAAAATTAGCATTCGTCGGGTTGGCGATGTGGTACGAATTTCGTCAGTGGTCATAACGTTTCACAGCACAATCGGATTCTTAATAACACTGCCTTTCAAAAACTATAGATGGTAATGCAGATTATCAGTCTGATACAGACATTTGGTTCTAAGATACAAATTATAAAAAGTCACGTTTTCTGGTAACTTCTTTCATGTTGATGAAAGTCTGACGTACTAAACGTTTTGTCATTTACTTGAAAATGAACTAATATTATGTCCAAGTATTGCTCTACATATGAATCTCTTCTATGGAAAAGAGTATGTCTGGACAATTTAAACGGTTCCATGGTGAAAGAGGAATACGGTAATTTTTGAATCTCACTTTCACATATATAAGTTCCATCACTCGATCTTAGGTGCCTTACGGGCTTTTCCATAGACCATATGCTCTGTAGATGAATCTAAGGTGATTTCATGGTTGATGAGGTATTTTTCACTCAGTTCATGTGGTATTTGTACGATGCTTCTTTACATGATTGTCCGCCCATTACGAATTACAAACATAATACGTTCATTTGTGCTAACCTAGTTCTACTGTATGGCCAGTGAAATGTCATTGAGCCTTAGCCAAATCATCCGGCAGTTGGGTCATTGAATATTAAACAAATCATCAATCCTCGTCATGGTCAAAGGCAACCAATGCGCCTCAGTTAATCATACTCCATGGACTGGCATATGCGGCGGTGGTCTTACTTTCGCTTGTATCTACTTTAACTTATATGTTTCTGTAGTAACGTCCTTTGTGTTGTACAGTCTTCAAAGCTCCTATAGTACCTTGATACGCTGGTATGGTAATCCATGTAAGATGTTGACCGTGAGGTGTGTCTCCGAGGTTAACTGATTCGTCACACCGTTTCCGTCTAACTCTAGTAGGCCCTCAATTATTCGACATAGATCATCTACTCTGGTGTCGCGATGGAGCCTGCGGTTGGACGGTTGGATATACATTCAAATTCTGAGGCTCTCGGAGATCACGTGGATAGGTTTGAAATCTGAAGTATGACCAGGAGAGATGACAAGGATGGTAAAGTTGAGGCTCACTTCCTTACACTCATCGGAAAGGATGCCTACAACTTACTAAAATACTTGGCATTCCCAGATAAGCCTATTTCATTTTCCTATGCAACTCCTAAAGAGCTTCTACTAAATCATGTAAAGCATACTAATTTCTAATGCCATGGAAGAGCGAAACCTCATAAAATGTTTCGTCAGGAGAGCCAAAAGGTTGGAGAATGCATCCTTGAGTTGTAGAAACAAGACACCAAGTGTAATCATGTTGACCAGCTTCACGTGCAGCCACGTGATCAATTAATTTCAAGAATTAACATACTAAATCCGGCGAGGGAGATTATACAAATGCCGAAGTGATCATTCCAAGATGCTAGAACTGAGTTTATCACTTATAAAACAGTTCATGAAATCCAGTTCCATGTCATCAATAGTTTCACTACTTCACATGGTTATTATAGTCCTATTCGTACTCAAGGTCATCTACGTAGGCGTTTAAGTAATGATAATTCTCGTTTTTGTGAAAACATGGATGTCAATTAATTGAACAGTTGCAAATCAGGTTACAAAGGTGGGCACATGTTTGGTAAATGCTTATGGTTCAAATGGTTCTGAACGGAATAGAAGAAGCTTTCACTTAACAGGCTTCCGTATCTAATGGCAGTGAAACACCGATACCTCCAGGTGGAGACCTAGGTATATTATGGATAAGAGCGGAAAAAGAAAAGTCGGTAAATGATAGTATGATACTGTCCTTAGTCCTTAAGAATATGTTAAGTTTCCTCTTAAAGGACTCCTAGTAAGTTGCTTAGACTAGCTCAACCGGCAGCGAATTCAAGCATTTGACTACTGGTAAGGAGTAAAAGGTTCATTCTGCTGTGTTATATCTCCAGTTTCTGGGTGTAGTTCTAGGGGTTTAGTTGGGACTATGCCTAAATAGGTGTTTAAGGAAATGTCCAGAAATGTTCAGAGTGCTGTAAGTCATTAAAAGGTCACCTCTAAGAAGCCTGTACTCTAATGAGTAAAGGTTCAGTGATTGGAGGCGCCTTTCGAATTGATTTCGTGGCTCGGAGCTGGACACGTGTTTACTTATCATTTTGGGATAAGGGGGGAAATACTATGTTTCCGTACTCTAAATTGGGACCAATGAAACTGTGGAAGATTGTGTGCAAAGTTCTCCCGTTGAAACGGCCGAAGATACGCTTCAAAGTTTCTAGTGCAAGATTCGCTCGGGAGGCATTTTGTTACAGTAAACGTAAGACGTGAAATCATAGGGTACCAACACTTCCAGATGCTTTTCAACTTCGGGTATCTCTGGGGAGGAGTTACCTAGGTTGTAATCTGTAGAAGAGTTGGGATTACCAATTGTATTCGAATTGGGATTACCAATTGTAGCGTGGCGTCGAGTTGAGGTTAACTGTGAACACCGCTACCAAGAAACACGTGCCAATTAGATCAGAAGGCGTAAGAAGCTCGTTCCAAATGACTCCATAAACCCCGAGAGCCGATCCAGAAGGCAATTAATGGAACAAGTCGATGTTTATTTGCTGGCGATCTCGTGGCATCGAAAGGATACCGAGATCGTGCCAGGATACAAGCTTGGTTACAGAACGTAACCGAATTCGCGCGAAGTTACAATCAAAGTGTAAGTGAAGGAATGGAAGCACAAAATAGCTGTCATTAGCACAGTCAAACAAAAGCACATTAAAACAAACACTGGTACAGTTGGTTGTAATAATAATTGTTTTTATTAAACCAGTCGTGTTCTCGTGATAAACGTGAGTCACTACAAATCTGTAACATGTTTCAGATGGACTACTTTACACTTTGAAGTGTTAAAGGTAAGTCCGTCACAATCTGCCCAACTTTGAACTCGAATCAGATCCTCCTGAAGTGCCCTTTTAACCTCTCGGTTACTTACTTCTCTCTAAGGTTTCAGATCATCAGCTAAGAGTAATAAATCTGACGGCACCTGCTGTGGAAGGTCGTTTATACAGATCAAGAAAAGATGTTTTAGTACTGAACTCTGGAGACCCTACCAGGATATTCCATAGTTAACCCTGACCTTAGAATGTTGACTTTTTAGATATGAAGTGAGCCAATCAATTAGAGGTGATTTGATACCTAATCATTTGAGCTTATTGGCAAGACATATATGGTTGACCCCATCAAATGCTTTTAGGAAGTCAAGGTAAATGACGTCAACCACCCCCCTGCGATCAAGGATGGTTGTCCATCTGCCCACTGAAGTCAGCATGTTGGTTATACAAGTGGAACCTTTTCTGAAACCGTGCTGTTGGGGAGGAAAGAAGTTTATGGATAATGAGTACTCGTGCATATCAGGGACCCCATAATTTTTGAGGGTATAGAGATAAGTGCCACCTTTCAGTAGCTTGAAGGTACGCTGCATCAACCTCCTATGATAACTGGTATAATGTGATCCAGCTTCCAAATTTACGGCAGTATGTCTCGGCCTAGCGAATGTGAGAACACCACGCTGGTTAGTGTTGCCATGATTGAAGCTTCTTCCATCAGTATAACAGAATGGACCATATCCGGGCCAGAGGAAGAGTCTTTTTTCAGTGCTGCAGTCTCTGGTACACTAAGTCAGCGCTCAGATTCATTTATGAAATACTTTTGCAGTCTCATATGAAGCTTTTATCAATATAGTTAATGTGGGTCGGTTGAAATGTCCAAGAGTACTGTCCGACCTAAAGGTTAGCGGCGTCACCGTCGTTGTTGGTTGAGCCATTAGGACCTAACAGTTGGGAAACTCTGATTTCGGCTCGTCAAAGAGAAGGTGCATGGCAGAACAAGCTTTTCGGATTTGAAAGAAATTATCGATGAGCTTCGTCTGGTAGAGAAGCCTGTCTTTTCTGATTGCCTTTGTGCTTATGTTCCTTACTTGCTTGAATCACTTGTATGCGCTTTTGTTACCAGTTCGTTTGTATTCTGCCTAGAAGTGCCTTTTGCGGCTTAGCAAGCAAAGGGTGTGATTCTTGATGACTGTAGGTTGCCTGTAGATTTTGCGAACCACTTGCGGAACAAACTGCCTTGTAGCACATAAGATCGTGTGCAGTAAGAAATCCACATCAAGTTGAGGGTGAACTTTCCAGTCCACCTGTTGTAGATAGTCCTGTAGAGCTGACACAGTCAACCGTTTAAAACTCAAGTGCCTGTTGTCGGTGGGATTTATTAACTAAGTTTTACTGAATAAACTGAAGGCTCTCCACAGGAGAGCCAGGACTGAGAGGTTGTCAATTAGGAAATCTTTGTTTGTAAGTACCCAATCTACGTGACGGTGTCTGACTGTTTCTCCAACGAGTTGCCGACTTTACATTTTTGAATAATCCCATATCTCCAATGAGGTTGAAGAACCGAGCTTCAGTGGAGTTTTCAACTCTAACGTACGTGTGTTCCGGGAAATTGATTTTAGGAAGATTGAAGTCCCCTAGAATCAGGATATGAGTGAATCTGTAGAATTATGATCTACTATGATATTAGTACTGCTCTAATAATAGACCTAATCC